CTTCCTGTACCATCAGCCAGGAATAGGTGCCAAGATATTGTATTTGAGCTCTTTTTTTGAGGAAGAAACTGAGCCCTGACCAGAGAGAGGGGCATTGGATCTAATCTAACAAACAAAAACAAACCTCAGAGAATGAGAAATTGGAAAAACTAGAAGGAACTTTTTCACATTTATTGTCTTAAGACTCACTTTGCTAAATGTTCAAAAGCTAGAAATAAAATGTGTCCGTGTCAAATCCCATGGTGTTTCTGGATTTAATACACATTTTAATCCTAATTTTATTATCAGAGAGCATATTCTGTTTTTATTTTAGTGAAAGCTGAAACTAAATCATCTAAAGAAACATTTTAGATCTAAAAAACAAAAAAAAAAAATCCAGCATGGCATGGAAACAAACAAGCACAAAACCAATTACATTTTTTTAAATGAAAAAACATGTACGGCATGTTATGCATTTCAGCAAAAGTTATTTAAGCCCAGACTAAGCATAGTTATCTAACATGTTTCAGACAAACAATGAGTGTGCAGGCCGTTTTTTCAAACAGTAATAAATTGTCTTTGGTTGAGCTTTGATATTTTCTACTATTTTCAGAGAAACATGTGGTTCAAATGGTTTGCAGAGAACTGAATTCTGTTATTTTTACAGATTACGCAGTGTCCCAAATTTTTTCTGAAAGCCTGGTTACAGTCCTTCAGCTGCTCTGCATTTATAAATGATTTCAAAACATTTGAGGTTAAAAAAAAAACACAAGTAAGCTTCTTTCAAAGCCAAAACATTCATTAGCTCTGTCATAATGGCTGCCAAGACAAACCAATTTGAGGCCAGACAATTTCCCCTCCAAACAGATAAAGGGGAGGATGAACTTTATGCTCCACATATTTTTTTTTTCTTATTGTCATTCTAGTTTTGTCAGAAATGGAAAGATTTAATCTTAAATACTTGAGAAAAGCATCTTTGCTTTAATGTTTTTTTTCTTTATGCTCTCTAAAAATGTCAGGGTGTGTCTTGTTTGTTTTTAAAATTTCCCACTTGAATTGCTCCCAGTATAACGTGTTCCACTAGCTCAGAAAAAGCAAACTCCGCTACATAAATAACACACAAAATATGCGTTTTAAACAATCTGTGCAAAGACCTTGAAGGTATTGCGTAATATAAAAAAGACAAGAATCCATAATGTTTTGGGGTGGGGATGGGAACAGGCTACTCAAGGCAAAACATTTCAGCCAAATTTTAAGATCCATGTAAATTTATTACATAACAAATTCCCATTCACTTTTAGATCATTTTAACAAAAACGTATTAAACCTTACATGATCCATATTCATTTTATAATAAAGATTTGATGTTTATTTGAAATAGATAATCATCAGGTTGATGTATTTAATATTGATAAATAAAGAAAATATAAAAAATTAATAAATCTAATATATATATATATATATATATATATATATATATATATATATACTTATTCAAAATTAATACTGTGTGCATTTAATAATGTGTGCATTTATTTTTAAAAAGATATAGGATTATATAAGATTGTTGTTTGAATTGTGTAAAGGTAACCTGATTATTTGAAACAAATATGCTCATTATTATTCATTTTGAGTAAGTACAGCCTATTAACTCTTAATACATAAAAGTGACAGTTATTTATTTTAAATAAATATGGAATATTAGATTAATGAATAAGTATCATATAAGGTTTCTTTAATTGACTGTATAGAAATGGCGTGAGGTGAGTATTATTCAACAACGTTTTTGAAAAAAAGTAGTGTTACTTTACTATACTGTTTACTTTTTTTGGTCAACATTATTGTGAGGTAACACTGTATAACACCTGGCTCCTCCACCAACCGTAGGTTCCTGAAACCTGACACATTTCATCCATAATGCACCAGAAACAGACCCATGTGTACAGTTTGTTATTGTCTGTCTTCTGGGACATTTAGATGCCAGTTGAATTTACAGTAAACTGTCTGTATTTGTTACTGGAAGAACTTTGCGCTATTTGTATGTATTATCTGTAAGTGCTGTAAGCTGCATAAACAAATTTGGAAATGTAGGTTTCTTTTGTCTTAACATAAACTTTTATTTCACATACTTGTGAGGACCTGCATATTTCTGTATGTCTACATACATAGACTTAGGCATACTTTATGGTTCTTTTATAGATGAAAAACGATTTTAGGAACAGTTCCCCATTTTAAATGTCTTTTTTCTGGCCTTTACTTCTTATACTCGGTTACTTTTTGCTTTTACTTGAGTATAAATTGATCAAATTAGTCTCACAGTTAGACTACAATGTCTATACCCACCTTTTCATATATTTCATAGACAAATGACTCTTAGTTCTCTCTTCAAGAACTACAAAATAAAAGTAAAATAAAGTACAAAAAGTGATCACTCTGTTCTTACATCTCTAGTTTGGCAGTTCTTGTAACCTATGCAAATGTTACAACAGTAGGGATTTATAATGGCTTTCCAATAGTTTCTATCAGGGGCATCTAACCCTGACCTGGCAGGAAATACTTCTCTTTCTCATGCAGTCTCAAGTAAAAGAAATAATTCATAATTTATTGCTGAATAATAAAATCTGTTTTACAATGATTCATTATGTAGGGCTAAGCCTCTGAAGTAATCGCAAAAGCACATTTGGAACAACTTTTCTTTTACCATAAAGTTATAATGGGGGTTGTTTGGCTGTTTACCCAAAAGAAACTATACTTATGTGATTTACTTTTTTTTTTTTTTTTTACTAACTCTTGATATTAAATTAAACACATTCTAAAGAGACCATTGGTTTGTCTTGGTGTACAAACTAATCTAACTAACTAATCTTGATGCTAAAATACTGTAGTTAGCTTACTAATTAGCTTCCGTGTCCCCAGGGCCAGATGGGTGTAAATAGTACAAAATCTCATTTGTATTATAAATTCATAAATCTTATATTTAAATCTGAAAACCTCATGCGAAGAGAAAAGACAATCAGAAGAACTTTATTGCTACAATTACTTTGTCTTTGGTGCTCAAACCTAGGCAGGAAACACAGTGCTTTTTTTTTGATAAATATGTATGAACAGGAGCAAAGAACAGGTCTGTTTCCTGGTGGTGGAGTGGAGATAGATGAAGTTGGTCAGTCTGTAGACTGCTGCTTAGTGAGACGCTATGCTGAGCTTAGTGGGGAGATCCAGTGGACTGGGTGAGCTGACACTAGAGCTTCACTCAGGGACCTGGAAGATGGAAGTCCAGTTTGGATAAGATAGGTTGAGAGAACCTGTCCATGATTAGCAAGCATGGAGCGACAATGGAGAGGAAAAACTCCCCGTTGGGAAGAAACCTCTGGCAGAACCAGGCTCAACATGGCGGTCTTCTGTCGGACCGGTTAAGATGAGACGGGGAACGCAGTAAGAGTCAGGGAATTACAAAACTCTAATGAAGTTTTAGCTACAATGGTGGAGGAGGGGCTGGAGGTGGGTTGAAACGGTGTCATCTGATTGAAGTCACACAGAGCATCCGCCGCCTGCCCACAGGAGCAGTCAGGTGCGTATCAGAGGCCTTTTAAATAACAGCAGCGTTACTTATTGTGAAGCATATAATATAGTTTCATTCACAAAATTGCTTTTATTTGTATTTTATATAACCTGCATATTTAGTTTCAACATGTTTAGCATTATGTTATAGCTATTGTGTATATGAGTTTTTTTTTCCAGTCTAATTAAGGGGTTGTTTAACACAGATTAAGCTTTTAAAAGTTGCTCTTTTTTTCAATGCATGTCTCTTCAGTTTACATTGCAAATGGATGAGTCAGGCTAACATTATTTTTCATTAGCATTAACTATATTGTCATGAAAGCCAGAAAATGCTTAATAAGTGTGATATCAAAGTTCTCCTGTCATTTTCGGTTTGACCATTAAAAAACTCCAAACAACTTGTTTTACTTTACTAGTCTTTAGACCCAGTATTTCTATGCTATTTAAGGTACTATTAAGAATATCTAATAACCTTTTTGTCTAACTATTACATTATGTTGTTGCTCTCAAGCAAGTTGTCTATCCCTTTCAGTTTCATTACATTTCGCTCGTTGTAATGCTGAGAAAACACTCCTGTCAGTCCAGCTGTTTTGCTCTACTGAGTTTGTTTTATCTAACCACATGCAAAGTCTCTTTATCTGTATAATCAAGACTGTAATCAGGCAGCTTTGTCTGGACAACAAGGGGCCAACATGAGGCAAAGAGGGCCCTGAGGCCTCCCTGCTACCTCTGCTGTAAAACTTTAACTTATAGACAGCAACATGTCCTTTCAGGTCCCATGGTGATATGGCTGAATGGTAGAGGAATCATAGCTGAGTTATACGGAATTTGGCATCAACTGATCTTCTGTGTATGGAAAGAATGGGGGAAATTTAGGAAAAAAACGTGTTTTCTGTTCTTAAATTTTTGTGCATGTTTGTTAATAAATGCACCAACCACAGTTTCCCAAAAATAAACTCTTATCTCTCTCACTAGCTCAGCTTAGCATCCTGCAAACCTGTCCTCACCTCACAGCGGTTCCTCAGGCAGGCACAGATGGGAACCCATTCGTGTGCAAACTGCAAACTGAGCCGTGATTGTCCTGATGTCTGTCTTTGTCTTTCAGTAATATCCCCCAGACCCATCATGCAAATAAAGCCCAAGTAAGTGACTTTACATGTATTAATTAAGGCTCATAATGAGCTCAGCATGATTAGGCATTTGAATGCATTCCTCGGGTATTGTGCAAACTCTGTGGAGGTTTCGCAATCTAAGTCATTTAGATGCGGGGGGAGGCAGGGCAGATAAAGGCCTAAAGCACACAAACACACACATGCAAGCCCCCTCTTCACCACTGAAACACACACAGAGGTGCTAATGAGAAATAATCAGGCTGTTAGTTTCAGTTACTCTTCGCACAATAAAAGATGCAAATAAGCCAAACGGTAAAAAGCATACGTTTTTTTTGTTGTTTTTTTTTTAATAGGAACAACTATTACAGTCACAAGTGTGGCATAAAAAAAGAAAACACTCAAGAGAATAATTTTTCATTGAAAATAAAATGTTCACCCACAAGGTGCACTATATAATGCAGGAGCATGTAACAAAAGTCACATCTCATTGGACCATATAAATATCTATTAACACAATACAAAGGGCTAAAAAAAAAAAACAAATGCATAAAAAAAACAGACAACTGTGGAATGTTTGTAATTATCTGTGCACCAGTGTTGATGTTCAACTGCTTACATGGTTGTTGCTGCCTACTACCTCATTGCAGTTTAAGCTAGACAACCATGAAAACACAACCCCGACCCCAGCGTCCTTTATCAAAGTCTGTTTGTCTGAAAGCTTGTTTTCATTTCTCGTTCACAGGCTTCTAACGCTGAGCTTCAGCGTCCGCTTTCAAACCCTTGCTATGGGGATGCGACCGCACAGCCAAAGCCGGAACATATGTCAAATGAAGGAAAAAAACCAAATAAGTGAGGGTACAAGACTCTCCCTCCTTAATTGTACCTGAAGGGAAATCCTTTTAAATAGTAGCTGGCAGAGGCAGGGAGCTGGCAGCGAGATCAAACAGTCGCTGAGCAGAAGCCTTTTAAATACAACACATTCACTTGCCGACTTCAAACAGCCTCGGCAGGCTTTATGCAGCAGGGCCGAGCTGCGGTCAGCATGTTCTCAGAGAGGCTTCAGTTCTCTGCGTAAACGAGATGCTCCTGCTTCATTCCCTATAACGGGCTGCATTTCACGCAAGCTCTGGCTCCACTGTGATTGCTTTGTTTCAGGTCACGACGACGGCGGTTGAGGAACTTTGCTTTTCTTCAAATAGACCTCCGAGCCTCCTTCAGGCACCAGGTGGCCAAAGCTGCTCCTGAATGAAGCGAGGAGTCGGCCTGCAATAGAGACCAATGTTAAAGACGCCTGAAACATCCCTGGAGTAACATGTTCCTACATGACATCCAACAAGAGTTTAGTCTTCAGCTTCAGAAAAAAAGAAGTCTGTTTACTTAGATGTCTCAGTTGTGCAGCAGCTGTGATTATACAGGCTTATTGTGGAGGATTTCTGCACAAATACCAACCTAATGAGACTTTCCTTGAGGCCTTGGGACGTTATAAACCCCGCCTATGGTTGGAAATATTGTTTTTAGATCAGGCTGCAGATGAGTGACAAAAAAACTCTCACCTGTCCAAGTCTTCTGTCCGGTCAGACTGAAGCTGCTGCAATGAGAGTGGGAGTTACAGATGTATGCCGCCTCTCTGGCGCTGTGGACGGACAGCACGCAGCCCTGCTGGCTGTAGGACGGCCAGCAGCGGTACTCCACATTCCCAGAGGTGCTCATGTCTCGCATCACGCTGTAATCTAACCACAGAATGAGAGATGGTACTTGAGTATACAGAACTGCTGAAGGAGTTTTCAAGCACTTAATGAGGACAAGATCAAAAGTTAGAAAGTCAAGTTAGCTTAGAGAATCAAGTTATGGTTTACGCAAAAGTTTTCCAACAGTTCTTCCTTTGAAATACAAATAAAAAATGGTATACCACAAGGTTCAGTGCTAGGAACATTATTATTCAACATTTAGTTAGCCTTTTTTTTTTCTCAATATTTAATGGGGAATTTTTTTAGTTATAAATGAGATTGTTTTCTCCAGGTGAGGTTTTGTTCTTTGCAACATCATCCTGTGTATTAAAAGCATTAAACTTAAATGCTGTTTTTTTTAATGCCCCTTTAACCAAAAGGTCAGCAGTCACCTGTTCACCAACTCAACAACAGATGGTCATCAAATTAAGTTAGTATCCAAATAGATATTAATAATTTAGGATTTTTGGAAATTTTTGAAAAGACCCACCTTCCTCACTTAAAAAAGAAATTCACATGTACAACCCTGTACCTGCTGCCAAGAGTAAACGCCTATTAAACGCATGCACGAGCCCATTTCTCGTCATGCACGCTCTTTTGATGCTGTTTACATCCCTAATACAAGCTAACTTTCCAAAAGAAGATTTGCAATTTTTCCACTATGTCAGACTTATCACCGGTAAGTGGAAATGGGGACAAGCACATAGAACAGCCTTACATAAACATATCACCAGAATGATTGACAAGTAGGAGGACCTCTTATTTTGATAATCCACCCGGAAAAAAAACAAAAAAACCATCCCCCATTACACTTTTAAGCCGTACATTCAACATTAAGTTAAAACAACAGAAATTTTCATTATATATTCTTATTGAAACAAGTGTTGCTTTTGTGCTAATTTAAAGTTTTAATGGAAAAAGATTGAGCTATGTGGTATGTGAATGTGTCGGCTCATTGTCTATACATGCAAGACAGTTCACCATGAAAGCTTGAGATTTATTAGCAACTGTGGCCCCTTACTCACCATTGTGTACTTTATGGTAAAGTTAACTGGATGTCTTAATGTGTCGGACACCTTAGTCACTGAACAAAGTGGGGCAAGGAACAAAAAAGAAAAAAAAAAAAGAAGAACTCAACTTAATCTCTGCTAAAACTGGTCATTAAAAGTATTTTTTATATTAATATTTCTAATTAGAAAATCTTAGAATTGTACACAATAATTTTTCAAGTTTCAAGATATAATAACTTCCAACAGCTTAAGTCTGTCCCACTGCTGTGCATTAGAGCCAGAGCCCCCCTAACGCAGTCCATATTACTTCCCTTCTTCTCAACATTTGCGTTACATTTATCATCATAACTCTTTCAGTCAGACGTCGTGTGGATCTGGCCTTAAATCATCTGCTACACATTAGCCGGAGCCATGAGAGAAAAGCATGCACACATACGTCTGCACGCATACCCGGCCCAGAAGTGGACAAAAGCCTTGCCTGTGTGTCGGTACGGAGGAGGCGCATAACAAGCTGGTAACCTTTTGTAAATGGCAGGAGGCAATGTGTGTGTGAGAGAGAGTGAACGAGAGACTGTGCATTGTTAAGGAGTGAAAAGAACCTGAGGATCAGCATTCAAGGGAACAAGGAGAAGGGGTGATGATCCCCCGTTTGTGGGAGGAAAGTAAAAGGCTGATTGCTTAGCTCAGCTGTTTTTAATTTTCATATTCAATATTCAGAAAATCGAATCAGTTAAATTTGAACTGCTGTAAGGACACTGATACCAAATGAAAGCTTTTCTCCTCCACCCACAAAAGTTACAAAGCTACATCTTTACTCCACGGCGGCCTCCTCCATCACAGCTCAGATGATCTCCAAACAGTGGAGAAATTACATCCACATTACTGAAGACTCTCCATCTGTCAGCAATTTTAAATTAAGACTTCAGGCCTGATGAGTATCTTTTTTTTCCTCCCTCACACATACAAGCATGGGATTTTTTTTCTTTCCCTTCCTGAGAAATTCCACTGACACAAAGCATAACCAAAACAAATTCAAAACTAAGCCTTAGCTTACCCTAACTATAACTCACACCGCCGCCCTGATTCTAACCAGAAAGGATGCTGCGCTACTTTAGGACATAGCTTCAAGTTTCCTTCTTTGTTTACTGAATCAAATAAACAGTTAAAGAGACATTAAATGATCTATTACTCCATTTAATTCAGTCCACATTTATTGAATCATGAAGCAAATATCTATGACTCGACTAAAAACTTCTAACCAAACATAAAGACAGACCAAGCGTGTTTAAAAACCCCTCGGCTGCAGCAAAATCTGCAGAATGCTGCTATAATAAACAGACATTTTTTAAGCCTTATCACACGCTCGCTGGCTGGCTCAGCGGCAGCAGCAGTTGACTCCTGGCACCCCCTTGTTAAGCCGAAACATTCCCTCCCTCACTGTAGCCTCTTTTCCATAACCAGGCCTCTCTTTTACCCCGGACCTGTGATTAAATTCACAAAGCGCTGCTATATAAACAGCCCAGCATCTGGGGGACGGAAAAAATCTCCCCACAGGAACGCAGCCAGTCATTCTGTTATTAATATTTCATAGGGCCGAGAGGAGCGGCGGGGAGGGAGAGCCGGAGAGCGAAGTGGAAAAGTGAAGGACTTTCTGTGCTTATATGGAGAGAGAGCGGAAACAGGGCTGAGTTTTAAAGCCTTAATGTTGATCAAGTGCATTCTATTTGGTAAAATAAACTTTTTCATAAAAAGTCTCTGAATGATAATATACTTTGCAAAAATATTGACACCCCTGCATCAATATATCATATTGGGATTTTATATGACTGACCAACAACAAGTAAAAATAAAACTTTTTAAAAATAAAATCTTTTGCAAAAATAAAGTTCAAAGGTGAAGCAAGTCTTTGCTTTAATCAATCCCCGCAAAATCAAATCTAGATCCACCTCAGTTTAGAAGTCTTCCTATTATGAAAAACAACTCAGATGAGTAATTGAATTATTTGAATCCATCTCTTTTCTGAAGGCATCCAAGCTTTGTTAGAAAAGAAAAAGCAAACCAGGGATCAGAATCAGACGGGCCAGGAAATAGAAGAGAAAATTACAGCAGGTTTAGCTTAGATAACAGCTTACATCTCAGAGTTCTGCTCAATCCATCATTTGCACAGAGGGAGATGAGAGAGCAACTACAGACTTCCAAAGACATGATTAATACTAAGAGAAGCAGCGAAGAAGCACATGAAAACTCTGGAGGGAACAGCTGAGATCCACCACTCAGGAGGGAGAAACTTAGTAAAAGGTTGGATATGAAGTTCTGTTTGCAGTTTACCATCACATATGGAAAACAACACATCATCCCGAACACAGTATGGCTATCATCAAACAGGGTAAAGGCAGCATCATGATGTGGGGTCGCTTTTTCTCAGTGGGGATTAGGAGGCTGGAAGGCACTGATAGGAAGACAATGCAGCTAAATTTAAGGCGAAAACCCTGTCAAAGGCTGCAAAAGACTTTAGAAAAGGAAGGAGGTTCACAAACAACCCAAAACATAACGTAAGGCAATAAAAAGAGTGGCCTAGTCAAAGTCAAAGAATTTATGTTTATTAGAACTCATAGAGCTAACCTGACTGAGCGTGAGCAATTTTGCAAGAAAGCAAGATCCAATTTCAGGCTCTAAATGAGCAGAGCTGGTAGAAGCTCACAGCTTTTCTGAAAGGCAGAAGTCTCAACTTGGAGGCCTGAATACTAAAACAGAAAAAAAAAATCTGTTTTTATATATAGAGAAAGATTTTAAAACCACCAATTTCCTTTCACTTCACTATTATCCTCTTAACATAAAGTTTGTGGTTTTGAAATGAGGTACAGTGGAGCTACTTTGACAAACAACAAAACGCTAATGAGAGTTGTTCAGCATTAATCCCACTAAGTTGGACTCATCCTTTCATTCCAGCTGCACAATTAACCTGTCAGGAAAAGACAGAGCTTAACAACCATCTTTCCTTTTCCCTCTAACGTTTCTAAATGAAAACAGAAGTGCTTACAATGCTCCCGTTTCTAGGCGCCTCATGAAATGAGCCTCGACTCCTCAGCTCTTACCTCTCAGTATTGAAGGATGCAGGTTGTCCAGGTGAATGCCTGATTTGTATAGGAGGAGGATGCGTTCAAAGGCCTCCAGAGTTTGATTGATGTTGGCTTTCAGCTCCCCTGGACACACATAATGAATTCAGTCTGGTCTGCATGCTCAAAGGGCTGGTCAGTGTAGATTATTTAAATATTTCTCAGCTTTTGATCAAAGCATCCAGATCTTAACATAAAACTGATTCCAGGGTGCTATTAAGTGTCAGGAGGCAACTTGTTCAGCTAATTCAATATAAAAAAAGCCTTGAAGGCATGCCAATGCACGATAGCTATAAAGGAATGATGCACTCTCTGATCTCTGATACTTAATCATGTCGGTGTGTGTCTCGTGTTCACCTGTGGAGTTCATGATGTGGTCTACCAGGTGTGTGAGGCCGGGTGGGGCCTGGTGGGGCAGCAGGTAGGTGAAAAAAAACCTGAAGAGGTAAAAGGAGCCTTTCAGAGATGGAAAAACAGACTCTGCTGTTAGAACCATAAAACTGTCAGAAACCTAGCCCTGTTTAAAGGGAAAACACGCTCTTTTTTCCAGCTATCACACCTCCATCAAACAGAACATTTCCAGCTGTACATCTTTATCTTTACTGTTATTATTTTAGTTGTCAGGTTAACCTGTGTTTTAGTCCCAACCACCCGGAGCACATTCATCATGCAGTTAAACTGTCACTTCTTTTCTCACCTGTAGGCATTATAAATGTTCCTCTTCTCGTTTAGGCCCTCGCACACACCCTGAGACGAGCAGGGCAGGGTGAAGTTTCTGTGCGGAAACTGGAGCACGCAGTCGGCGTCCGTCCGACAGGCGGGTTCTTCCGTGCTGACGTCGTCCAGATCGGTGAGCTTCAGCTGGCCGGACACAATGACGAACTGCCGAGGCTGGAAGTCCAGCAGCCCCACGGAGCCCAGAGGAGACCAGGAGAGGAAATGCAGGAGCCGGACCAGATCCAGACACACCTGGAGATCAGACATGCCGAAACCTGATCACTTCAGGGTTAAATAATTAGCCTTCAGCTACTGTCTCACAAGCTGAGAAACATATTACAGGCAAACTCGTAAATCTGACAAAACTATTTTCCTCTTTAATGCTTTTTTTTTTTGTTTTTACATCTTTATCTTAAACATTTAGGTCTGACAAAAAAGCAAAACATATTAAAAAAATGCACAAGGAAACAAATACTTTCATCCAGTCCTGTATCTAATTGATAAAATGTTTATTTAGCTAATGCTTCCCAAATGTGAAAGAATTTACAGTTCCTGTTTATTTTTTGTGTCTAGTTTTTCATCTTTATATTTTTCACCTTCCATATATTTGAGTGTTTTACTCTGCAAGTTCTCCACTAAGAATTACTCTATTCTGTTTTATTGTCAAAATTATTCTACGTTTCAGAATAAGCCTCAAACCTTTAAATGAGCTCTTTTTAAATAAATAAAATAAAAAGGAATCAAGATAAATGATTTGGGGTGAAAATTTTTCATTTTAAAATTAGAGCCAGCTTGTTTAAAAGTTCTAAATGAATGTTTTAATTATAATAAAATCAACAATTCTTAGAGCAGCTGGTTTTTATTCAAGCCCTGTCATTCAGTCGTGACTGAATGACTTATTCATGTTCATCTTACCAGAGAAATCTCATTTTTTTAATATTAAATTTCAAACAGAAATCTGACAGGTTTTAGAAACAATAATAAATATTATGAATTTTCAGCCAAATATGGCTCTTTTGTATGTGTCATCTTTAAAAGGGGTTGGGTGAGTTTGGGAGTTTCTTGAACGCTGCTCTGCTGGCTCAGAGCAGAGCAAAAAAAAAAAGGTGCAGGGTGAAACCTTACACCCCTAGATTAATGCACCCTGCAGGGGCCCGGCCAGCCTGTCAGGGGTATCATGATCCACTATTTGGGTGATGCAGCAGAAAAAGATCCACAGCTGAGATAATTACTCGTATATTCAATCTACCACCCACTGGTCCTGTCTGTCAAACACTCCCACTGTGGGCACACCTGAACCTGTTCACATGACAGTGTGTGTTTTAGCCAGCAGTGGATTAACTCCTGAGCCTATCTCTGTTCCAGCCGGTGCCTGATCACATTCCCTGGAGAGGCAGATGTCAGACCTTCCTTCTCTTCCAGCAGGAGCACTGACCTGCCTACGTGGTAAAGACCTCTGCTTTCCCGGTGGAAAAAAGCTGCAGTGCTCACCCTGAATCTGTCCTCCCAGGGAGTCTGGAGCAGCTGGATCATCTGGAGAGGCGTGCCTTGCTCCATAATGACTGTGACTCTTCCTCCTTCCACTCCCTCTCCACCCTGGAGTCCTGAACAGTGGCCCTTAAGCTGCAGAAGGAGAAAATTAAAGTTTATTGCCTTTAAACAAGATAAATATAATACTCTCCTTAGATTTAATGCATTTGAAGGCTATAAAAATGTTCTTCCAAATTAACATGTGACAGAAAAATCCTGTTACAGAGAGAAAGGCAGTTAATTCAGTTAAAAATGATTTGATTGAGGTGTTTCCTACACAGGCCAATCTCAGGCTTGCTTCTAAATTGAGCCTTAAAGATCTGATTAAATAAGAGCTGGGGGTCTCAGATGGAGCCAGGACAGGAGAAGCATTGTGTGCTCCAGCCAAACTGGACAGAGGTCAGAGGGGGGTCAGGGAATTTAATTTAATTAGATGGGAAGGCCTCGGAGAGCCTGGGAGACTTTCCATCAAGTTCCCTCACGCTGAGACAAAGGAAAGTCTGAGCAAGAGAAAGATTGGAAAGTCAGGATGGGATCCAGCAATGTTCCACCTCCACAGCTCAGGCCAACGCGCAGGCTTCACTGAAACGGGGATATTATGAAATTCGGATAAAACTTTTCACCTGGATGACGTTGGGATGGCGCAGCCTCTGCAGCAGGAGCATTTCTTTCTGCAGCTTGTAGGAGACCAGCTCCCTGCAGCCCTGCAGGTCTTTGAAATCCTCCAAACACTTGCTCATGTCGATGCCCTGCTCGTTGACCAGCTTCAGCGCCACGGACTGACCTCCGGCCAGATTCGCCTTCACCACCAGCTTGGTGTATCCAGAGCCCAGAACCTCCACAGCCCGAACGTCCAGGAGAGACTCACAGCCCATCTGATCCCGGTGCGCCTTCCCAGAACCAGACACCTCATTCCACAGACTGGAGTCCAAACCATAGTTCTGCTCTAGAACTTCTTCCAACACTCTGTCCTTATCGCCATCAGGATGTAGGAGCAGAGGGAGGATTTCTTTCCTTCTCTCCCTGAGGTGGAGATCCAGCGCGCTGCGCAGCGACGCCAAACCCTCCTGATCTGTGGAGTTGGATAAGCGCGTTGATCCCGATCCAAACTGCTTCAGGCTCGTAATGAGGAGTGACACCAGAACAGACAGGACCACCAACGCCAGGAGGGCAGCCGCGCGTAAGGAGTGGCCCATTCCGGGCGCTTAGGGTCGCAGGAACTGCGCTCAGCCGCGACCTGCAGGCGGACCGCTCCGAGTCAGAGCGCTTTCTGCCGGACAGACGCTCCTCACAGCCTCCTGCTCCACAGCTCCCAGGAAACTCCCTCTGGAGGTGTGTCCTGCGAGCTGGTAACTTTACACCCGCGGGTCAGAAAGCTTTGCAGGAGAACCCGGCCTCATGTTGGTGGAGTTTGCTTTAACAATGGAATCACAGGAGTTCTGTAAAACTTTATGACAATCTACGTCATCATCAGATGAAGTCGGCTTATTTTTTTTTTTTTTTTTTTTTAACAAAAACTGAAGTAGAGGCTACGAGTTGGGAATGTATTTCCAGAATCTGTCCACGAGGTGGCAGCAAATCACCTTTCTGTTTAAAGCCAAAACTGATGTGATGAAGAGTAGACCTGCACTTTTTTAAAAACACTTTTAAATGGGTATAATACATGTAAGGATAATCAAACCAAGTCTTTAGTTGTTAATTATAGTTTTCAATTTATTTCTTTTATTTTGTTTATTTTGTATATATATAAGTTTACTTTTTAATTAATTCCCAACAAGTTTGGTTTTGCCAGAAGCCATGTTCTGTTTAGGGATTGTTTTCTCTGGTTTTCTTATTGCAATCCCCACGGGCACATTATGAGTGTTAACTAAGTGGTAAGGGGATCAGAACCGTCCCAATTATTCCATGAGGTGTCAGAATGTGTCATAAAAGGTTTTCATTTTTCCATATTAGCACAATAGCAGCATATAGTTGCTGCATACTTTTTTGTCAAGTAACTAAGTACAAATACTTCATTACTGTACTTAAGTACACTTTCTAGGTATCTACACTTTACTCCATTACTTATTTTTCTTCCTACTTCTGACTTCTACTCATTACATTTTCAAACTACTATCTGTACTTTCTATTCCTTACATTTTAAAACAAACGTTACTCTTGGCTTCGGTTTAATGTTTATAAATATTTATTTCACATCATGTATTCCATCCAATGCAGATCAGTGGCGCCATCCACGTCTAGAGAAAACTAGTGTAATTAGATGAGTCATTAGCTAAATGAAATCATCAGAAACAAGCAGGTGTTCTTCAAACTGCAAACTTGAATTATCTATGCCATGCTACAATGTCAGATTCAGAAAAAGATTTTGAAATGTCTGAAAGGTCGGACACAGGCGAGATCAACAAGACCTCCCTCATCATTGGCCCTATCTTAAAGAATTTTTCAAAGTAGTTGAAAAATTGAGCTTTCAATTCATATACTGGCATTTGTCTGTTTTTTTTTTTAGGTTAAAGGTTAATACTTTTATACTTTAAGTAGTTTTTGGAGCACATACTTTTTCACTTTTACTTGAGGAAAGAGGTCAACTTGATACTTCAACTTTTATCAGAGTGTTTTTAAACTGCAGTATCTATACTTCTACTTAAGTAACAAATGTGTGTACTTCTGACACCACTGAGGATCGATGATGTAATTCCATCTCATGTTTAATAAAGTAGTTTGAGATATTTCAGTGCTGATAAAAGAAAGATAGGCTGTGATGTTTAATCTATGCTTGGCACATGGTTTACCATAAAACACCGATCCCCACAAGGGATCAATGTTTTTATGTCTTTCACACTAAATTATGAACATTCCCCCTCAATGCTGCAACTGAAAAATAGAATTTTTTTCACTTTTACTATAATTTATTTATATAATACTATAAAGTATTAGTGAGTAGTAAAGAACTGTAACCTCAGGCCCTTTTCCCGAGTTGATGGGAGTGGCACCCATGGTGGTTTTTAGCAGCTGTAGTCCAACTGCTTCAAGGTTTAAAGTGTTGTGCATTCAGAGACGATGTGGTGTCTTACCTCATACTCTGCAGAAATACTGTCTGCTTCTTTCCTGTAAATGACGTTGCTTTAAAACACCAGTAGATCAGCGGTTTGTTGGAATAATTTCACTGGAGGCAAAGTGATTTACATCCCTTTTCTTCATCATTCTGATGATCAGCAAATTATCTTCACCGCGTCTAAATGCCTCAAGGCAAGTTGCAAAAAAAAAAGCTGTAAGGCTTATTAATAAGGGGGTGAACCAACTGATAAAATCTTCATTCAAAGCAACACATTAAAATTCAAAGATACTGCTTATATAAAAATGCTGGAACTAATATATAAAGCAGTAAACAAATGTATTCCTTTTGGCATTCAGAAATAATTCAAGTTAAGAAAGAATAAATATAATTTGCAAGGTTTGTTTATATTTGAATACTCAAAAGAGAAGAGCCAGATAAAGTCTAGATGTGTTTCAGCTATTGGAGTGAAACTGTGGAAAGAACTGAATGATGATTTAAGTTATGCCCTTTCTTGGTGAATTTTAAAAGAGCTTTGTGGAGCTATTTATTCTTTATTTCTTTATCCATTTAAATTGTGTAAATGAATTCCTAAATTTCAATTTTTTGTAAAATCTAGATAGTTTATTTGCAGGTTAATAATTGTTGATTCTATTTATCTTTGTTTTATTATTTTTCTTAATTATTTATTGTTCTGAGGGATTGACAGGAAGTGATGTGGATCATTCCACTTTCTATAGTGTAGGGGGTTGGGAAAGGACCAGCAGGCATTTTGGGTTTGGGGCCTATGGTTTTTACCAGTGCAAGAGAGGTAGGACAAAAGAAAAGTTTGTACTCTTTAACTGTTGGCAAAAATAGAAAATAAACCATCCAGAATCATCATCAAGACTGGACATTGAACCTTCTTTCTCCTGCGTATAGAAACTTGACCCCAGTGCCTCAGTAACAGCTTAAAGGAACTTTAATTGGATGTTTGGCTTGGCAAACAATCACTACTGCAGAGCTTTTAAATGTAAAAGGATAAAATCCTATGATGTTATGTAGATTTGAATATTTATATATGTATTGTGAAGAACCTGGTAGGTTGTAAAGGTTGTGAGTATAAAAAAGGCAAGAATAAGCTTTGTTTCAGCCTTTTTTTGGTAAATTGTGCGTTTGTTTGTTTATTGTTGCTTCTTTTTACTGTTTCCTGTGTTTCATGTTGGATAATTTACCAAAAACAAAGTGGAAAAAGTGAAGCGAGGCTCATTGCTTGATAAAATACCCAAAATCTGGGTCACAAAACTCAAGAAAATAAACAAGCAAAAACTTTAAAACACCTTTTTTATTTAGTTCCATGAAACACTGCTGTGTTAGAGGAACACATACGCTGTTATTTCTCTCCATTTCCAAACAGTCCTTCTGCTCTGTCTCCTCATCTAGCTCTGTTTTCGTGCCAAAGCGGAGCTGCGGCTCTAATGAAGCGTTTTCCCCCAACATCACCATTCTCAGGCAGAAACCTGCCACAGGAAATTACCATGGCTGTCACCTCAGTGTGCCCACCACAAGCCGAGCCCTCCCCTCAGCCTCCCAGTTATTTGTGTGTCCTGTTTCCAGTTTTATGTCAGCCAGCCTCTCCAGATGTGTGTGTGTGTTTGCATCAGACATCTTTAGTGTCTATGGCAGAGTGAGCAGCTAAGCATTTCCAGTGAAGTCAAAAGAGCTTCAGTCGTTTCACATAAGCTGTACAGAAAACTCTAACTGACCAACAGGAGTTTTCTCTGGGCTACATTTAGCCAAAAATGATTGTGGTTTATATTGATTTACTGTCTGAAACAGTTTTAAAGTATCCCGATAAAATCACTTAAAGTAATTAGCTTTGAATGAAACAGGTTTAAAAGTAGGAACAAAGAGAATGATTTAATACCATGAAACACAACTTTTTCCCTCCTCGTCAAAAATTTCTCACACTCCTGTTGTGTTGATCCCTGCCCTTCTACCAATACATCATTACTGCCACCCTATGGAGGCCAGTCAGAGACAAGAGCCTGGGGCCATGATTCATATTTATAACAAGAGCCAGACCTGCAGTCGCCTCATTAGCGGAGAGTCACACAGGTCTGCTGTGTCACAGCTTCTGCAGTCTTTTTAGCTTACTTGACTTTGGCTCATTCTCCCTTCTCTGAGTCAGAGAGAGGTTACTTGTTGAATTCTTTTAGACATACATGTTTTTACTCATTTGTTTCCAACATTAATGTGTTTTAAATGTTCCTGTTGAGGAGTAGCTGGATAGAAATGGATTTCCCTTAGAGATGGCCTTTTTAAACTACCTTTTTCCCAATTTGAAAACGATTGTTTAATATCTCAAAATCTATAGTTTTATCTATATTTTTCTTTGTTTATAAGATAATAAGATTAGCCTTCAGTTCCTCTCTGACTGCCTAAGCAATGATCTTCAGATATAACAGGACGCATGCCCTATAAAAATGGTATGGGTCTTTTCTGTTGACAGAATATTTTCTCTAAGGTATTTAGGAATCAAGATGGGATATTCCTATGCGTTCCCATTTTTGTGCAGAAGTGGTTTTGGCCTTAGAGGTCACACATGAACATTGTCCTTAGTTGAAGCAAGTGTGACCTGAAATGATTTGGGTTCTGCTTACTTTTACGAAATCAAGATTGAGACAAGATTGAGACATTCAAAATCTCTTGAAGTGATTTTGGAAGATTTTGGTCAATGCTGAGAAGGTACACCGCACCTCCATTTTTTCCTTTTCCAAATCATTGCTCTAGATATTGTCATTCATCTACTCCATGTTGTTTATAGGTCTGGTAATAAGATCAGAGGGTAACTGGTGACGTTGAGCAAGGCATTTGGAAACAATCACACCACTTCTGAGCTTTTTCTTTGAAAGATATGTTGATTCATGAGTGACAGTGGCGTCGAATGCAGGAGGTTAATCTGCAACCGAATGGTTTTCAGTTCAAACCGTAGCTCCAGCTTTCAGTGTTATTGTGCAATACGATTCACTTTCATTGCCTACAGATGGTGGTCAGAGGCTAGACCTTTCTGTCAAGCTTCTGAAGTCTTCAGATGATGACACTGTAAGGATAATTATCTTTGAAGATGTTTGAGTTTATCACACCTTGGTACTGGCTGCCTTTTGCATGTCAGAAATGATGTTTTCCACAATAGTTATCTAATTAAGACAGTTCCTCTGTCTGGATATACCGTTATAATCTTCATTCTCATTCCATTTCAGATTTGGAAATGGAATGAGAGCAGCGTCCTTCAGCTGAAAACAAAGTTTAATATTTTCATAAGGCTGGAGCCATGGATGTCTAATCATCTGCTAACGTGTATGATGTAAAATATGATGATGTGGCAGACTGGAGATGTATAAATGCCTTTTTAACTGTTAATTGGGTTCACTTCCTGAGAGGTGAGCCTAGAGGTGAGCAGCTGCCTTATGTAAATTCTAAGAAATGTCTCTGATCTGAGTAAGATTAGATTTTCAACCAGAATCTATTGGCATGTCTCCTGGTTATTTAATACATATAAGTTATGAAGTGTTATTTAAAGAGTTTGTCCCGAGTGATCTCTTTTAAGGGAAACGAACTGGAGAGATAGAGCATCAAGGTGCATACACAGAGCCTATTTTTAACAACACCCTGTTTGCTTAATGTTTGAGGAAGATGAGTGTACCTATAGGAAGGGAACTGAACATTTTTTGACCTGCTGCAGCCAGAAGCCTGGAGCCTAATGATCTGTAAACATCTAGAGATGTTGGTGGACAGTAGAAAGGTCCATCATCTATCTATCTGTCTGTCTGTCTGTCTGTCTGTCTGTCTGTCTGTCTGTCTGTCTGTCTGTC